TAAAATCTTCAATAAATAACAATGGGCTGTATTTTGTTGCTGAGGAACGAAGTAAAGTTGCGCAAGTAACCGTGAAAGAGAAGCGGAACGGAGCAGCTGCAAAAGCAGTGAAATCGCGAAATTAATGCAAATTTTGACTGGTAGCATTCACTTCGTAATTAGTTTTTAGCTTAGCGGTTTCTGTTCTGTATATAAAGGATTACCTGAAGAATGAACATGGTTGATAACATCCGGGCGCGCAGCGGCGCTGTGTTTTGAGCAGGAAGAGGAAAAACCCCCAGCCGGAATCCGCGGCGCAGTGAGGATTTCCATGATAACAATGGCTGATCGATCATTCTTATTAGCTACAGGCCAAAAGTATCAGAGACTGAGAGTACTATGAGATGCTGGCAGTCTGAGAGGCAACTACTCAGAGATCCAAGCAGGGGAATAGCGGCGCTGCGTAGCTGCAGGGAGTCGATCACTGCGGGGTGAGGCGGAGCCACGACTTTAGCAGTTAGACGAAAGCAGCTTACAGCCACGGCTAACTCCGGGAGACAAGGTAGAAAAGCCTTTTTTCCCCCTAGTCCAAAAGACTGCATTTGTGGCTGCATTTTTACTCCAAAATGCAGCCATAGTGTCCAAAAGAAAAAAACATAAGTGCAATCATTTGCATATTGAGAGTCTACAGAGGCTGATAATCTCCCCACTCTGTTTCTGGATTACCGTTTAAACTTTTGAGTTTTATGTCAAATCCACATGAATTAAATGACAGAAACTAATTCTCTCACTGCGTTTTTGACTCATTTTGTCCAGCTGCAGACTGTTAGACTGTCCAATCAGAGTCAGGTATTGTGTAGTTGGTGATTTTAATCAGTTTTCTGTTAACTAAATTCAAGTCTATGGAACACAAAATGTCACTAAAATCACTCTGTCCTTCTAAAATCTTTCAGAAAATTGTAAAAATGCACTGAATCGTAGCAAATTGTATCGCTCAACAAATATCGTATACATATCGCATCGTGACCAGAATATCATATATCGTATCGTATTGTGAAATTATTGTATCGCTACACCCCTATCAGGAGTCTGGACAAGAACCACTTCAGAGGAAGACTGGGTTCAGGCTCCACATTGACACCTGCTGTCTGTGTGATGTCACTGAGTTGTGGAGGTTCTGATTGGCTCATGAGGCCAGATGAGCTCACCTCTCCACCAGCAGGTCCAGCAGCTCCCCAGGCCGGCAGAAGGACCGGTACGTGGTCAGAAAGGTCCGGACAAAGTTTGGATCTATGGAAACAGGAAACATGACTGAGTGGTTCTGGTTCAGAGAGTGTACCAAGGACCAGGTTCAGAGGTTCTGGAGAACCGGTTCTGAACCAGCTCCCATTGGGAGGTCCTTCTACCAGGCCTACCGACCCGTTTCCTGGCTGAACCGGGTCAGGCAGGCGGACCAGTCCCAGACCTGGTGGTGATGCATTTAAAGCCCAAAAATAATTAAAGACACCCTGTCAGCAATGTTACATCAATAATTAATACGATTCCATCCACCCATCCATCCACTTTCTTCCTCTTATCCAGGATCGGGTCACGGGGGCAGCAGCTTCAGAAAGGAGGCCCAGACTTCCCTCTTCCAGCTCCTCCAGGAACCCCAAGGCGTTCCCAGGCCAGCCAAGAGACATCGTCCCTCCAGCGTGTCCTGGGTCTTCCCCTCCTCCTGGTGGGACGTGAACTCCTCACCAGGGAGGCGTCCAGGAGGCATCCTGACCAGATGCCTGAGCCTCAACTGGCTCCTCTCAACATGGAGACCATAGATGAGGGTAGGAACGTAGATCAACCGGTAAATCAAGAGCTTCGCTTTTTGACTCAGCTCTCTTCACCATGACAGACTGGCACTGTACCAGTCTGTCATGGTGAAAAAGTTGAAAAAGACATGAGCTTTTCAGCTATAAAGACATGAGCTGAAAAGGCTCATGTCTTAATAGTAATAGTAAACATTTTAGGAGACATAGAATAACTGAATCTTCAGACGGTGAATCTAGCAGCTAAGAGAAAGCAGCGCTAAAGTCGCTACTGCTAACACTTCCAGGGAGTCCAGATCTTCATGCTTGGCTAAACCAGAGACACCGCTACGGAAAAGGATGTTGGGTGGAAGAGGAAGGTTGGCGGTCATACTTCCGTTTCCGGTGTTATTTGGCGCCATAGCGGATTATGCTAATCTTAGTCGTTGGTTGGTCCGTCTGCGCCTCAGTCATTGGAAAGTTAAAAACGTGGAAAGTTCCGCCTGTACTCACCTGCATACAGGTGGAAGGTGAGCCTCTCGATGAGCTTCAGGACCGTCCCGGCTTTAATGACGGGGATGCCAGACTTAGACTGGACGCTGTCCTCAAACACAACGTTCTGGTCCGAGTCGGGTTCGGCGAAGCGGTACCGCTGGACCGACGGTAGCCGCATCTGCTGCTCCTCGTCCTGCAGCAGCGCCTGGTCCAGCATGCGCTCCAGCGTCCCGCGGTACTGCAGCGACACCAGCGCCGCCATCCAGCCGTTCTTCTCCTCCGCTGACTTGGCGGCGAACAGCACGCCGCCGCCGTCCTTCGGCGCCACCTCGAAGGCGTGGCGCCACTCGCCGTCCCGGTCCTCCCGGTCCACCACCCGGACCTTCCGCATCAGGAACTTCTCCTTGAGGCGGAACTCGGCGGCGGCGGCGCCGGGCAGCCGCGGCGGCGCGTGGCCAGCCTTGCAGCTGATCATCAGACCGTCGAAGAGGAAGATGTGGCGCTCGTGCTTGGCACCGACGCGGCTCAACGTGCCCTCCATGATGAACTCATTACAGCACTGGGCGATGTCCATACCCTCCCAGCCGTCGATGCTCCGCTGGACGTCCTTCATCCTCCTGATGGCCAGGTGCTTACTCTTTACTTGCTGGCTGTGGAGCCGGCAGGCCGGCTCGCTAAGGAAGAGGAAGAACAGACAGGTCAGAGGAGGAAGAGGAAGCGGGGGACCAGAGAGACATGGGGACTCTAATGGACACGTTGGACATGTCCCCCTCATGTCCCACTGTCTATTCTTTTTTAGCCGTTAAACTATTTCAGCTGACATATTGCAACGTGTTTTTCGGAGCCATCTTTAAACGCACCATGAATGTTTACATGCCAACACGCTTTACTCAACTGTACGTAGCATTTATGTCGCTCCATATTGATAATTAGTTTGTTTTAAATATCCTGTATTTTTATCCTGTATTGTATTTTCCTGATCTAGCTCCAGTTTTCACTCCAGCTGTGTTTGTTTTTAAGCAGCAGGTTGTTGCTAGGCACCCGAAGCCACCCAGCTAACTTTGCTGGTTGAATGGCCAGCAGTGAGGTTCATGAGTCTGATGGCGCATTCACACCAAATATGATTTGAGCGTCACGCGCGTCGAGAGCAAAATGTCTCACTGGACAAGCGTCAGACAGGTTTTGAAGCTCGAAACACGTTCGGTGTGAACTCTGCTGCAAACTCCTCTAGAGTTTGATCCATCCATTCCAGGCTGGATGGATGGATGGATCCATCAAAGCTGCAGCAATTAACTTTTATCAGAAATGTTTTTTACTTACTGTATTTTCCGCACTATAAGGCGCACCTAAAAGCCTTCAATTTACTCAAAAGCCGACAGTGCACCTTATAATCCAGTGTGCCTTATATATGGACCAATATTGAGCCACAACAGGTCTAGGAACTACGGTAAGCAGCCGCCAACTTCATTTTCGCCAGTAAAAGAAGAAGCGCGCGGTGCATGCTGGGATAGAACGCTGGTTTGTTAATAAAGTTTGACTGACCTATCTACCTACATCAGGTGTCTGCAGGTCATTTAGCATCACGTTCTCCCACGCCCCGGCCCAGGAAGGCTCTCCTCGCCAGAGTCGGACTGTTTTGTTGACATTCTCTTTAGTGCAGCTCCATCTAGTGGATGCATAACGTAACTCCAGCCTCTACTGTAGCGTCTATTCTATGCGCCTTATAATGCGAAAAATACGGTATTTATTATAAAATATTTATTGAAATTGTTTCCATGTTGTAACAGCATAATCAGAGAACAGATCAATCTCAGATCTCCACCTTTGGTGAAGAAATGCACCAAAAACAACCAATCAAAGCCAGGAGGAGGGGCTTGGTGTGACAAATCAACCTTATGTACTCACTACTAAATGTGCTAATGACAGAGAAACAACTTACCACTACACAAAAACCGCTTACCCACCGTTGTCAGTGGCTATGCTAACTAGCCTGAGCATCCATAGCAGGCTATGCTAGCTGCAGCGTAGCAGAGAACTCGGGGTTAGCTGACACGTCCACCTGGGCTTCACCTGTGTAGTTCTGTTTATCCAGAAAAGTTAGTCAGGGTGAGTAGTCATCTTGCGATCGGAAGGTTGTAGGTTCGATTCCAGTGTCCTCCTGCCTCATGTCGATGCGCCCCTGGCCACTTAACCCCAAACTGCCTACCGATCTGCCTATCGGTGTATAAATGTGTGTGTTTGTGAATGTGACTGTAGTGTAAAGTGCTTTGAGTGGTCAAAATAAGGCTTGAACTTGGATAAAAGTTCAGTCCCTTTACCGTGTAGCTGGAAGGAAGACGTCCGGCCAGGTGTGTTCCTACCTGAGCCTCCGCTTGGCCAGGCTCCTGGAGCAGATCCTCTCCAAGCTGCTCTGCAGGTTCAGCAGCGCCGTGATGGCCTGACGAAGACACTCCTTATCCTCCTCATCCTCGCTGCGCTCTTCCAGTTGCTATGGAAACACAACCAGAGTCAGGGGCACCTGCACAGGTACAGCAGGACCAGAACCACAAACCAGACCTGCAAGGTTCTGGCCCAACTGGAAACCAGAGCGAGCAGAACCCCAGGGTTTCCCCCAGAAAACTTGCTAAGCCCGGTGGTCAGGGCGTCGAGTCGGTCCACCGGAAGTCCACTGTGTTTTTGTATTAAAAGATGTTAAGTTGACAGGAAATGTAAAAGTATTACTGTGTAATTATATGTTACGGGAAAAGATCTTGAGTGAAATGTTATTTAAACCCACAACTAGTCTAAAAACAACAAATTTGCGCTTCTGTTTAATCCAAAATAAGTCAGCGGCTCCATCAGGCCCCCAAGGGCTTCAGGGGCCCCATAAACACAAATATTTTAAAACACACCACAGATACATAAATGTAACACTTGTTTATTGAGATGATCAATGCTGTTAAACTTGATTCAATTGTTTAGGCATACATAAATTAAATTATTTTAAATTGTTTAACATTTAAATACAAGATTTTAAGGAGCTGGCAAGTTTACTTTGTAAAACTTCAAAGAACAATATTCATAGTTAGATTGTTTTGTTACCATAGCAACAATCTGATGCTGTGAGTTTAATCTTTGAATTTACAAATACAAATTAGTAAACTGCGATTATAACTTATTGCTTTTTTGGCTGGCCAATTAAACTACTCCCTTCTCCCATATTTCACTAAATCTAACACAGAAGCTGTTAGAAGTGCTAATATTTTTAGCAACAAAAGGGGCCCCTAAGTCAGATTCTGCTCCAGGCCTCATGCAGCCTTGGACCGGCCCTGCATGATGAGGTAATCTGCTGCACGCAGAGATGCGCAACTAACAGGAGATTTAATTCAGTGCTGCTAATGTGGCTTTAGTAGCTCTTCCATTTCGTGTCTGTTGAATTTTTAATAAACGTCACAGAAACTATTCTGGTTGGTCGAGTTTATGGGACGAGTTTAAGTAGACGACGCATTTGATATGGTTTGATGCATCGTGTAACCGGAAAAGTAATACTACTGCTAATAAAATAATATAAAATCAGCGTGATGCGTGACTCCGAGGAGAGCGTTAAAGCTCCTCACCGGGCTGAACCTGCATGATCAGGTTAGCGCTGCTCGTTATCCACAGACGGTCCGGCCAACCGGGACCACAGACATAAACTTTACAGGGAAGACAGACACAGAGCCACACGCTGGACAGCGTGTTGAGATGTAAACACCGCATATAATTGTTCGTTCACAAAGATAAATCATTCTCACCGTTCCACAACGCACATCTCTGAATTCGCTACAAGTTATTCCTGCGGTTCACATTGAGCTGCGCAACCAGAGCTAAAGCGGCAAGTTTTAAACTCTTACCTAGAGTTCTCCAAAGGATCATAATTCCTTACAGTAGGTTGATAAAAATATCCATACAGGTCA